AAAACAAAAAAACGTGCAAAACAAGCGCCATGCAAACTATGTTATTAAAAACAAAATGTTAAGTACCCGAAACTCATTTTGATGCTGGATCCCAAACTCGCCAAACTAGAAGCGACTGTTGCAGCAGGTACAGTTTCAGAGCGATGCAGTTTGTTCTGCGCTGGTGGACTTCCTTCAAAAGTTGCAGATCTGTGCACAGAACTACGGAATAGAATTGGCTCATCCGTCAATGGATTACTCTGTGCTAAATTGATGGTTTCAGGGGGTGGTGTAATGGGTGGAGGTGTTGGTGGATCGTCAAATGCACCCAAAGGATCGTTTTCCGTGATTAACATTCGAGAAATCCTTAAAAACATACAAATTAATATTAAAAACATCAAAAATTAACAATTTGCTTACTTTGTAATTGAAATCTTATCGTTTTCTTCATCTGGATTCTCTCCATCATCTTCCTCTTCAAATTGTAACAAGCGTGAACACTTCTTATTACTCTGCTGTAATTTATCAAGGATCAACGCATCTCCTGCACTTTCACTTCTTGATAATACCCGCACGTATTCCGCGGGACTTTCTGGCGGAGTGAAAGTTATGTGGATGTCTTCAATGGGTTCCTGAAAATCTCCTTCATCTCCTTCGGTATCTCTTGAACTAACACCCGAATCTGTTTGTTCGGAACCATTACTAGCACTACCTTTAACAATGCTCACAACTCGCGTGCAGATTTTATCAAACACACCATCAGTAACAGGTACTGCTTCATGTGAATCCAAAGAAGATCTTGAAGCAACCCGATCGCCTGGATCTAACAAATTTAAAGTGCTATCCATTGTGACAGATTGCCGTTTTGCCTGTCGACGTTTCGCAGCTCTGCGAAACCTCGCCGCACCCAAAACAACATAACGCAATTTGTTCCACAGCAAAAGACTTGAACTACTCTGTGCGGGCCATTCGGCTTCCAAAACACAACGATTATATAACCCGTATGTAAGCGCATTCGGTTGAAGCCCATTCCGCTTCATCAAGAGCAATAATTTAACAGCAAGCAGCGGTTTTGAATATTCACCGCAAAGTTGCATCATTAATCGATAACAGACTTCATCACACGCCAGTTTTTGTTGTGTGGCTCTCACTAACAATTCGTACGCCTGTTGTAACACAGCGCGTTCCCTGCCGACATTCAATGATAACAAACTGGGCAGCGCCATGAAGTATAAAAGTATGACAGGTGCCGCTTAAACATCTCGCCCATAACGCTGGTTGATTCACGTACTTCTGCGCGAGTTTCTGTGCAGATTTTATCTCGTGCTTTGTTCGGCGAGCCATTGGTGAACCAGGGATTGAGTTTTGATACAGTGAAGATAAATGATCACGTTTTTTACCCGTGGTTTTCAGTAGGAGCGGATTCAAAGTGAATTCGGTGTAAATTTGTGAATTTTCTACAATAAAACAATTTATATTTATAAAATGTAAATATAAAAATGTAATAAATACCTTTTGTGGGTTCAGGAGGTAATAAAAATACAGTCCTCTCACTTTTATGCACCATATCAGGTTCAAGAAAACGAATATCTTCATCATCCTGAGCTAATCTCTCAGTGCATTCATCAAAGAACGCTAGGCCTTGATCACCATCAGCTACGAAACTCTCTCTTCAATAAACCTAATAAACATCTGTGTGTGCATCAATAAAGTGAAAAACTTATGATAGTTTTATCCGGGATTTTAAAAGTCCGTGAGTTGAAACAGCGCCTGCGGGTCGGTTGTGCCCACTGTGGGCGCTCTGGTAATAGGCAACAGGAAATTTCTGTACCCTTTCAACGTCAGCGCCATAAACTTGAGGAAAGCTTCCTGAATTTCCAACTCTTGAGCTTGCTACAAATAAAAATACAATAAATCATTTGCATTGTAACAAAATAGTTGTTATACTTCTCGTCGTCGTCTTTGGAATTCTATTTCCAAGTCCAATTCCGGGTCAGGAGGAGGGTCTACAATCTTTTACTTTGACACAAACTCTCATAGAGTCGTTCAAGGGTAGTTTTGAGGATCTTCGCCGGTTTTTTCGGTAATAATCGCACGTTTAGAATATGCCGCTGTGTTTCGCTGACTGTAATAATATTAGTATCCAAATCTACACAGCTTACATCCGGAGGCGGGTCATACAGATCGAAAAACGTGAATCCACACCAATCATAAACGGTAAAGGTGCGTGAAGTACTTCTACTAAACCTACAATTCAAAAATAAAATTATTTATAGGTTAGAATAGGTTATGTTGAATATAACCTAGTGGACAAAGTGGAATGTATGGACACTGCCATTTGAAAGGAAATAATAACGATGACAGAGCTTCAGCGACGGCGGTGAGCGTGTCCGGACGCAGTGAATGAATCAAAATCTTTTGTTCGGTGAGTGCCAGTAATAAAATGAGCAAACAATTGTCCGCGCCGAGATTGAAGAGTAAATCCTTGAAACCAGCCGCACTGCGCGGCAGAGGCAAATCTTCAGGTTGTGTCATAATCACACGTTCTGCACTTGATAGTTGCAGTAATGTCCTTGGAGCAGGGAAAGGTACTTCATCAAGAAGTTGAACAATATATCTCTCGATAGATATTTCTTGTTCTTCACCTTTTGCAACCATATTCTACAACATAAAGAAATAAATTTTGTTCTTGGATTAGTTTTTAGTTGCTTACATAAAGAAAATATAACCATTGTCTGAATGTGTCTGCGAATGGCCAGTGGGAAAGCACACAAATACTTTTCGACGCATGTAAATTAAATCCTTTTCCTTTTTCATAGTTAAGTTTGGTGGTTTGTTCATCACTCAACTCATCATCAGCGAATTTCTCGTAGAAAGTCACAGCTGACCCGTAGACTTTGTGTTTCGCATCGGAAACTGTAAGCACAAACGTGCTGAAAATAGGCTTGGGTTGTGTTGCTTCTTCAGGCCACACTTCTAATGTAGCACCCATTGGCAAACAGAATAATGGAACGGAGTCTGGGAATGGGAAATGTTCCAAATTACCCATTGGATACCTGAAACAAACAGGGAGTAATCAGATTAATCGGTTTTATTTGTTTGCATTAAAGGTGATATCACTTACCTGGAAATAACGGATGGATTGTATGTGATTAATCGCGAACGATTCATGGACTTTTTGTAGCAGAGGAACACGTCACTGCCGACGATTCCCTTGTTGAGGTTTTTGTTAATGCAGCAGAACGCATGCGGCGGGGATTCGCCTTTGCTGGCGATGACGACGCAAATGTCCGTCACCACAAGAGCGTTGCATGGCATCGTTGGTGAGCCTCTTCGATATGTGATGAATGTCAATGCAGCCGAATTATTTACATTGGCTACTCTACCACCGACACTTTCTTCAACTTTTCCAGCATCTTTCATTAGGAACTCTTTTCCCTCGTACATAACACCTAAAAAAAAGCGCAGAAAATTGGTTATGTTCATGTTTTTTAAGGTTATTACAAGAAATAATTGTGTAAAACTACTTAAAACTAATAAATAAACATAAATATGCATAGAACAAAGAACTATAGCAATAAAATATAAATATTTGTTAATTTTACATAAAATAAAACCAAATTTGAGTAAAATTTCACTTAAAATGGTCATAAATCATAGATTTTTGTCCATATTTTATTTTTTAGCATAAAAAATGCCTCAATACTTACCAATATCAACCAAAGGTGGTTTATCCCTGCCTCTCCGAAAGCACAAATAACATTCAATGCTTCGTAGACTTCCATGATTCAAATCAGCACTCAACCCACTTGGTGTCCTCTCAATCACCTCATACCCTTGTGGCACAACCTCATTCAAAGATGGAAAAACAATCCCAATGTCTGTGATTGGGTCCTGATCATACCCGCTCTTAAAATGTGCTGAATCTGACAATGATGTGTCATCGAGAATGTCTGGTTCTTCTGATAGACCAACTACCACAAAGTAGTCGGCCACACGACGCTCATCCATGCTTAAGTACTGAATTACTTCTGTTTAAGGCACATCTTGTACATAATAGTAATCTGCAACACAATTATTCCCATCTGTTCGCTGAACAAGTTTGTATACATTTGCTGTTTGATTATGACTTACCTGAGCAAAGATATTGAAGTAGTTGATAGCAAATGATAGAAGTAGATGAGTCATCAGCCGAACAGAAAGTTTATCCGAGTGTTTTTCGTATTCTCTTCTTAGAACCGTGTGTTTTGTTTTTATATAATACATTTGCAGCGGTTGATGTGATCCAAGGTGCTTTCGAGCGCTCGCTTTCTACGTAATTACGCATCGGGCGGACGGCATATTCGGTTTGTTGTGTTTTTACGCTGCAGGTGTAATGTTCACTTGGTGTAATTATAATTCAACATGTAACATTAACTATACAAATGCCAGTGAGTTATTTATTGTTCGTATGTGGTAGTGACAGTAATGACAATTGTTGACATTTTGAGCGCTTAGGTGCGAAATTGCGCCGGTAGATGGCGCTAGCAGTTTCAAAATTGAAATAAATTTTTGTTTTCCGGTTTTTAGTTATCAGAAGGCCGAGAAATCTTATCTCTGGTTGCTGTGTTTACGATTGCACGCGCTGGTTTGTTTATTTTTGTGTATTGTATCGAAATACATTTGGATTTTATGAATAAATGAAAATAAAAATCGTTTTTCTTCACAATTTTGATTCTTTGGATGTGTAAATCAAAATAATTGAGTTTAATATTAGTTTTTTTAATTAAATCAACCGTAAATAATTAAAAATAACATCAATTAGTGTTTTTAATATATAAAAACAACATTTTGTAGTTGTATTTTAATTAATTATGTGTTTTTCTAGTAAAAATATAAAATTGCGCATTTCTCGTTTATTTTTTTAGTTTAAATCGCGTAATTAATATTGTTTTACAAGCGAAAATAATAAATAGTTAATTTAGTTGAAGCTTGAGCCTTTTTTCACGTCACACACCAACAATTGCGTTATCCTACTTAGTTGCATTACCATCAAAGGAAATTTCCAACTGACGGCGCTGTAAATGCACGCCGAGGTCGAATCCTGCTGAAGGAAACAGCGCATTAGGATAAAGCAACTTAAAACAAAGAAAAAAAACCTCGACAGCAGCGTACGTAGCTGCAGGAAAAGCATACTCGCAGCGTTAATGCAACGTAATGCAATGTAATACAACGTGGAACGTCACCGGTCCTGGTCGTAATCATATATTTTTTATATCCGCTGAAAATTTTTGCTCAGAATGGCAGGATGGCAGGATTTTCGCCCGCGCGTGTATGGAAATGTGAAATGAACTGCGCTCATGAATTTTAAAGCGCAGCCGCTTGTAAAGTTTGTGGGACTTGTGGGGAAAAATGAACAGATTCTTAAAATTGAAAGCGCATAACCGCCACATAACGGGGGGCGGCAAGCCCATAAAGAAAATGATGTATGGCGTTTACTTATGCACTGCCGGAATTTTAAGCTGTGGCAAACTTTCCAGGATGCGTAATAGTTCCCCGAAGGACCAAGATTTCAACTAGGAACCATAAAACCGCAAGCAAAACAAATTGAAACCCCCAAAGCTCATAACCTTAACCTCACAAACTTTCAAACAATACAAAATGGCGTATTGCTAAAAATATACACACAAAAACGATTCGTATCATATAGAAATTTAATTAATTCACACTTGGAGCTTTAAAAGCTTTCAATTTGTTTTTTATTTTTTTATTCCACGTGAATTATGATGACATAAATAAATAAAAACAAAACTTTCAGGGTCAGCAATTACCTGCGCGTTTTTTATTTCTCTCTGTGTGTGTGTTTGTGTTTCATGAAAAGCTCAGACATGTTTTTCTGGTTAGAAAGATCTCTCATACGTTTCAGGCATTTCAGTGTTTCAGGCACAATAAGCCGTCCGCTTTTGAGGCCATAAATTTTAATCTAAAATACTGATTAATGCCGGAGGGTGAAAGATTTCGTCGACAAATTTTTACGTGAACGCGCGCGCCAGCTTAAAACTTCACTTTGGCCCGCCGGAGTGAAAGCTTTGCGTGTGAAGCTTTCGCTCAACACAAGCTTTATCTTTTCTCTGGTAATCCTATTTCCACTGTTGACACGCTGAATTAACACCGACAAATTATTTAGATGTGAATTTAGTATTTTGTTGATATTTTAGTGTAAATTGAGAGATAGAAGTGTGAAACACAAAGGGCGTTGGTAATAATTAACGCTCAACGCCAATGCGGATAATTTATTTCGTAAAGCACGTCAATGGCGTCAATGGCGCATTCCGAAGCAACGATTTTGCGATTTTCATGAACCTGCTGATCATTCCAGCACACACCCTCTCCGCATTCAGTATGTATGTGATGTTTATTATTTTGTCTTTCCCGTCGAGCACGAATTCAGAGTAAGCTCATTCATCAATTTGGTGAACCCGAAACAGCACTCGATAATTTACGAGAGAAATGCAAATTAATTGATATCTCATTTCGTGAACTAAGCGTGTTCTGTTTGTTTGGCCAGCGCGGACGTGTGATTCAATCCGAATATGGAATTTCGCTTACATGTGATAAATCGCTTAAATTGTGTAAAAATACAAAAAAAATGTTTGAGTGTTGTACATTTTTGTATTCCAGCACGTCTCGTGTTTATTATTATTATTATTGTAATGAGGTGGTGCGCGCCTTGCGAATTCTTCGTGCCGCAAAACCCGAGAGATGCTGCGGCAGCGGAGGCGGCGAGATGAAACTCGTAATGAAAAATCTTATTCATAAACCAGCGCACTAAATATGTTCGCCTTTTTTTCTCGCTCATTGTCCCGGCGCCTGCACCAAATATACATTCGAAAATTCTCATTTCACTCCTGTCTTTTTCCTCTTGAAAAAAGCGCATAATAAGAGTGGTCATGAATATAATTAAACCAACCTGAATATTCTTTTGAAAAAATTATATTTAAACACAAAATAAATAAAAATACTCCAGTGAAAGGTTATGTCCAGTAACATAACCTCAATTGAAGATGTATGCAACCTAAATAACACATGTGTATGGTGTAATTCGCACTCAATTATAAAAGCTGGGAAAAAAAGGAAATGAGATTGAACTGGAAAGCTGGGAACAGTAAATCACATTTATTGGTTAGGTATTGTTCGCGTTTTTTGATTGGTTTGCTTGTTGTGCGTTGTTTAAGCCGCGTGTTTGATTTTTGTTGTGTGTCGGCGTTGTTTTTGCGCGCGGCGTACACTCATCGGGTGTAGTAGTGATTTATGCGATGGTGTTTTGAATCGAGCCGGGAGGTGGCTGAGGACGAGATTCCGATGGCGGTTTATCACGGATAACGCAATTAGAACGTCAGTGCGCGCATGATGAATGTGTGCACGCAGAAGGCGGACGCCGTTTTGGCATTAATTTCTGAATTTGTACTGAATTATGTTCACATTCGCCCCTCGAATACGATTCGGGAATTCGCACATGTCGCACAGACAGCATATGTGCGCCAAAACAAGCGCGAAAGTATGATAACAAGCACCAAATCATCATTTTCCCTCCCGCCACGAATCGGTGACATCTTCATTTAGTGAATTTATCTAATTAAGTTGACAAAATTATAATTCCTACTAATATTATAAATGCGAAAGTCCTGATGTTTGTTACACTTTGACGCAAAAACTACTTAACAGATCATCATGAAAATGTGTACACATATTCTTAGTGGTCCCCGAATGGTTATAGGCTACTTTTTATTTAATAAAAAAAATTATTTTTTAAATAAAATAAAGAAATTGTTTAGCCAATAATACCTCTGCATCTGGCTATTTGACTACTTTAACGCCATCTAGCATTCCAGCAATGAAGCTCAAACCTAAGTACTATAGTACCATCACACTGTATTATCACACTGTATTACCGACAGCTACGTCAACATCAAATCCAATTGACTACACTATGGAGACTGTACACTATACTTCCATAGACTATACTTTCAGCCATTTTAAACTTCCCGCCATTCTACTTCATTGTTACTTCTTCTGTGACTACAGACGCGTACGGAAGCAACTTCATTATTTTAGATATTCGCAAGCGAAGCAGCGCAGTTTTACTATAAACTAGTGAATTAAAGTGAAGTGGAACATTTTATATTTTGATTGTTTTTTTTTTGATTTGATGAAATGTTATAGCGAATAGGCCGTGTGTGTTATTTGAGAACATGGCGGCTCATAAAAACATAACGGTTGGTTTCGGACAGGGGAAAAAAAGTTCGTTAGTTACGCAGTATTCCGTTCGGTTCGTTTTGATTCGTTTTGTTGTTGCTGCGTGTGTTTCTCTGATTTTTTCCACCGCCGCTCGCTGGCTCGGGGGCAAACTGCCGGAAAATATTTAAAACGAGCAGCCAGGAATGACGCGCGTCGCTGCACACAATAAACAAACCGAATGGGGCACGCGCCTAGCGCCTGAAATGCGAAAACGGTCAACGTAAATGCGAAATGGAAATCTCTTATATAAAATATGGCACTTAAAACAAAAAAATCACACAAAAAACACCATTTTTTTCTGTCGGAATAGTGCGTAAAATGACATTTTTACTCTTGAAAGTTTAAAAAAAAGTTTTAAACTCTTGCAGTAAAACGCAATATGAATAAAATGTGTTGATGTACGTCATAAAAAGGAATTTGTTTTAAATAAATATCAATTTAATATAATTTTATAGAAATTAAATATATGTATATATTATGTTAAAATATAACCACCTATCATACATTTTCTGGGGTAAAAGTTTAGAAATCGATAAAAGTACAAATTTGAGTTTTTTAATTTTTTGTCAGTTTTTCAATTGCAAATATCTCGTAAACTAAACGCGATAGAGAGGAACGAATTTCAGATCCTTAATCTACGGAAAATTTTCTATAAGATGAGAATATGAAATAATTATATTTCCAGGAGTAAAAAGTCCAAAAACCCAACATAAAATTCTGAAAAATGGAATTTTTTCAATTGCGGATATCTCGTAAACTAAAAGCGATAGAGAGAAACGGATTTCAAATTCTTAATCTACGGAAAATTTTCTATAAGATGAGAATGAGAAATAGTTATATTTCCTGGTGTAAAAGGTCCAAAAACGCAACTAAAAGTTCTGACAAATGAAATTTTTGATTTTTTACATTTTTTTCAATTGCAAATATCTCGTAAACTAAAAGTGATAGAGGGAAACGGATTTCATATCCTTAGTCTACGACAAGTTTTCTATAAGATGAGAATGAGAAATAGTAATATTTCCAGGTGAAAAATGTCCAAAAACGCAACTATAAATTCAGAAAAATATTTTTTTTCAATTTTTCACATTTTTTTCAATTGCAAATATCTCGTAAACTAAAAGTGATAGGAAGGAACGGATAAAAAATTCTTAATCTACTTTAAATTTTCTATTAAATAAGTTTGCTAAATTAAAAAAAAATTAAAGTTAAAAAATGAAATAATTAAAAACAAAAAAGGAATTTGATCAATAGAGGTGAATAGAAACACAGATTACACTTTAATATTATCTTATATTGCATACATTGAAATAATAACATACCCATTAATCAGTATCGTTATAATTGTAGATTATTTCGTTTACAATTGTAATATTTGTTGTTATTTTACTCTGCTATGTGATTAGTTAATGCTTAATCTTTGGCACCAATTGAGATTTTGAGAATAAAGATATGACAGTTTTTGATATCTTTTACTTTCAACTAGGTCATCACTCATTCATCGCTCTCAATCCACACAATAATTCAATTATCTCATAGATTAATTAATTATTGTAAATTTTACATAGTTACATGTGTCTCCTTTCGCTAAATGTTAACCTCTAATCAGCGTTTTAGTAAGTTCTATGTACAAGTGTAGTGTTGAAATCGACAAATCGACATTTAATTGATTTGTTCAATGATTATGTACAAAAATGGCGTACAAAACGTTCAATTTCGTGGAAATGTACACGTGCAAATGTTCAATTTCATTACTCGGTTAATTATAGGTCAATTACATTGATAGTTTTGGTAATTTAATAATAATAAACTATGCATTTAGTTATTTTTAGAGTTTTACCAACCAAATCAACACTTTTATTAAAACTCGTTGTCTTGTCACGGAATTTCGTGCGCGTCGTCATGAGCAGCGTTTATTAAAGAGAATTCCGGACGCGAAATTTTACGCGGACGTGCTCGTAATATAGGAGAAATCTCGCGTTATTCTCGCGCAATAATAACAATAATAACGCGCCGGCAATATTGTCGGAGACGGCGGCGGCGGCGGCGGTGGCGGCACGGAGCTTTCCTCAGAAGCACGTCGTGTACACTGCTGCTGGGACGTGGATATAAGAATTAGCATTTTATTAGAACTATGCGCGCTATGCTCTCCAAACTAAGAGAGCTACATACAAATGTGCGCCCGGCGCCTTCACCATGAATTTACCGCTAAAACTAGAATTATTTTTCGCGTGGTTTTCCTTTTGGGTTGAGCTTGTATCAGTCGCACAAATCATTAGTATTTACACATATTTTTTAATATTTTATTTATGATAGAGAGTTTACCGAATACGAATGTGAATCTGATAGTGATTTTTTGTTTTCTTGTTGCTGTTTGTGATGGATGGATGAGTTCTTATATTTGCGATCGATATTTCGGTGCGACTTGTTTTTAGGTTTTTTTCGTGGGTCGTAATCAATCTTGTCGCGCGTTTATGCAATGCGTCACCGATGCGTGAGGACGAGGCAGGCGGCCAGAAACAGCTGCAGGAGATTTGAGCTGGATAAAGATGGCGACGATGAGAATACTTCGCTTTCTCTTGAGCGGTGACCTCGTGCGGGTTCTGCCAAGCCTAGAAAATAAGTCAAAATATATTTTTATGTAAAAAATGTTAAAATAAAAAATAATTTCAAGTTTTTTTGAATTTTTTTTCTGAAGTTAAAGTTTGTTCGAGTAAAGCACACAGGCTTCGCATACGAAAAGGAAATTTATTCAATCCGAAGAACAAATAAAGCTCGCGCCAAGCCAGGAACTGCTAGTTTCCAAAACGGGCTTCGAACGTTTTACACCGTATTTTATTCGTGTAATACCCGTCTGCTTTTGCGAACATATTAAACTTAGCAGATTTACGATATCGTGCTCGGCGAATTTCAATACAAAAAGCTCGAATTATGATTATTGCAGTGTAAACATTACTTATTATGTACAGAAAAAAAAAAGAAAAAAATATTTTTACTTCTCTGAAGCAGTGAAAAATAAATAATAAAATTTTTAATTGTTTTATTCGCAAAAAAATTAAAAAACAAAAAAATTGATTTAAAACAGAAAAAATAAAATATTCTACATTTCTTGCCTTGTAGACATAGAAGTAAGAAAGAATCGTTGTATTTTTTAAGTTTTATTTGTTTTAGTCAACACGCCATCGCAGACCTATTTTTTCCATCGTATTTTTTGTTTGTTTTTTTCTGCTTTTCTGCTTCCAGCGCTCGAATACAGACCGAGAAAACCGATACATTCCTCGCAGTATTCAATTACATCATTTGTTGCTGTATTTACGATTATTACGCTTGGGAATCCACAAATGCTCCCCGGCAAATATCCGCCGACGCAAACAAAGTCACAATAACTATACTCCAATTATTATAATTTTTTCCTCGTTAGACTATCTCTTAAAGTATCATCAATATTCTAAGCCAAGTAAAATTTGCCGATTTAACAGCATATGTAATGTGCATGGATTAATCAAATACGTATGCGTATGTGAGGAAAATTAAAGATGAAAAAAAAGGATAAACGTCGAAAACGTGTAATGCATAATGGGCGAATATGTTACGCTCGTTATGCGCACCCCCGCGTTCGATAATTATCCTTATAATGCTGATGGATTGTAATGCAAACACGTTTTTGCATTTTGCACATTTTTCTACTCCGAGGTTAATTACCAGCAATTATTCATTTCGATAAAATATTTTTTTTATTTTTTGTAAAATTTTCATGAAAAATCAAAAATTTTGTTTTGAACAATTCAGAAACATTTTTTAAAAATTGCTGTTGGTTTCGTTTGAGTGAATTTTACAATTTTGGGTTACGTTTCGCATCATTACAACAGAAGCGCACAATTTACAATAAAAAAACGCGTTGAAAAATCCGCTTTTTGTAGCAAAAGAAGAGAATTAGGCTGGGCGAGAGCAAAACCTGTTGATTTAAAAAAGTTTTGCATTCATAGCGTGTTCGGCGTGGCATTTTTGATGCCCAGCACAAAAAAGTGCTCTCACGACAACAACTCCGAACGCATATTAATTTTTTTCTTCAGGTATTTTGGGTAAAAACGACAATTTTGCAATATTTTTATTTTATCAGATGGAACAAGCTGAAAGTTTTATATTGCGACATTTCTGTTTATTCAATTACTGACATAAAAGCGCGTTTTAGTGGTGAAGTAATGGTCGACGCGAACGCGTCATTAGGTATATGCCAGCAATAATTATGATTTAAATTTGCAGCAAATGCAAGCGCAAATGGAACGCACGCGAACGCAATTTGCACTTTCAAAGCTTTCAAGTAAAAATAATTACGTAAATAAATAAATGTGTTTGCGCTACTTATAGAATTACCTCCAACTATACTGATATGATTATCCTGTGGTCCACCGGGTCCAACTTTGATTTCTGCAACAAGAGAGGAAACATTTTATATATATTCAGTAAAAAAATCCAAAAATTTAGGTAAAATTGTGTTTATAACACAAAATGTCTCCAAAAATGTAAAAATTATCAAATTCTTTTCGATTTTTCTTATAATCAAACAAAAGTCAATTTTTGACGATTTTATTCAATGGCGAATATCTCGTAAACTAAAAGAGATAATTAAGATCCGATCACAGCGTTTTAATCTACGGACTCTTCTCTATAAGATAGGATAGTTAAAACGGAAATCTGAGAAATGAAATTTCAAGTCTTCAGAAAAAATTGCCAAGGGGGGGTGCTTGATACTTTTTTTCGACGATTTTTGAAAATTCATATCTCTTAAACTAACAGCGATAGCAACCAACAAATTATTGATTATGATAGATTGGAAAATTCTCAATCAGATAAAAATATAAAATAATTATATTTCCTACAGTAAAAGTCGAAAAACGCGACTAAAAGTGCTAAAAAGTGACATTTTTGAATTTTTGACCATTTTATTCAATCGCGAATATCTCGTAAACTAAAAAGAGATAATTTAGATCTGATCGCTTGCGTCTTGAATCCTACGGACTATTCTCTTATAAGATGAGCTAGTTAAAGAGGCGGAAATCTGAGAGATAAAATTTTTAATTCTTAAGAAAAATTGCCAAGGGGGTGCTTGATACTTTTTTCGACGATTTTGAAAATTCATATCTCTTAAACTAACAGCGATAGCAACCAACGAATTGCTGATTATGAAAGATTGGAAAATTCTCTATCAGATAAAAAT